GGTGTGAATGTGGGCAGTCAAATTGCAAAGCAGAGAAGTATGAAGTAACTTCAATGTTTTAATGATTTAATCAAATTTACAGAATTTTGCACATGTGCAGTGGGTTAACAGGGACCCCCATTTTTCAGCCCCAGGTTAACCCCCCAAGTGCTTGAATGTGGGGATTATTCTTTTCAGTTTTCCTTTTTCTTTTGTTTGCCCTGTTTTTAATTTTTTGTCAAGGTCTGCACGCGCCACGTTTGTTTTTTGTTGGGGTCTTGGAGATCCGGAGATGACTGTTTTGGCCAACCTTAAAAATCCCGAAAATTGGAAAATTCAAAATCCTGAAAAAGTTAGAAACGGTCTGAAAATGTCCTTCGGGACATTCGTTAAAATTGGAACGATACAGAGAAGATTAGCATGGCCCCTGCGCAAGGATTTGTTGTGAGTTGTGAATGTTCGTTACTCAGAGTACGTCAACACATCAAGTCAACTCGCACAGTTACTGTAGTGACAAAGTAGACGAGAATAGAACAAGAACAGGATTCCATTTAAACCAAACCAACATTCCCAAGACTCCGCCTTCACTCCACGTACCACCCGCGGTAGCAGACTACTGTCGTCACAATAGCCTGTTTGACCGCGGAACCTGAGAGGTTGAGCTAAACCTACGTCTACCTATTAATAGTCGCAGTGGGGCAAAACATGCTAGGCTACTCAGCTTCGCAGAGGCTAGAGAGCCTATTCTAGTTACCGGAGGAAACCATATTACTAGATATCAAGAAAGTTCGGTCGTCGTGAAGGCCTATGGTCCTGCACCTAATGTTACAGGTTCAAGGGACCGGTCCCACATCCCACTCAGAAATACGAGGTCTGTTCCTCGGTCCAGAAAAACGTGTAGGTTCAAGTGTGAAAAATAGGCCTGGAAATACGAGGTCTTTTCAAGAGGGGCCAGTTTTTAAAGTCCTTGAAATTTTTAACAGGTTCAAAATTCAAGGGGGAAAGTAGTTTTAATCTCCTTTCAAGAGGGGTCAATTAAAGTCCTTGAAATGGTTAACAGTTTCAACTTTCAAAGGGGGGGGGGGAGGTTTTCATCTGTTTTCAAGAGGGGCCAGTTAAAGTCCTTGAAATTAGTGAACCGTGTCAAGGGAAGGTAGTTAATCCATTTGCTTTCCTCTGTAGCCAGAAGCAAGCAATGCTACGACCGCTATTGCCCGACCGTGGTTCAATTTTTTATTATTTATTGAACAAAAATGGTATTGTGATTTATCTCAAATCTTTACTGCTACTCGCTGGTGGAAAGCAAGCGGCAGCACTGCCGCCGCCACTCCTCAGAATAAAATAGATTGGTTGAGGAGTGGCAGCGGCAGTCCCGTTGGTTAATTTCCAACGGGAAAGTAACTGACGGGGCTCAGGAAAATAAGAGCATGCTGTATGAGGAAAGAAAAAGGGAAAATGAGAAACTTCAAAAAAGGGGACACTCTTTTTTTCATGGTTACCAACCGGACGTCCGGGTCCGGGTCCGGATCCGGGTCCGGATCCGGATCTGGATCCAGAGAGTCCGGTGTCGGGTGTCCGGTTCGGAGGGTCCAGTTGGACCCCGATTTCGAAAAATTCGAAATTTCTTTTTGGGGTTCGCAGGCCGTTTACCTGGGCCTGGGGTACCCCGAAAAAATAATGCTGATGTTTTTTCAACTTTTTTGAGAACTGGTACCCCAACCGGACAGGCCCTGAAAGGGCACTCTGTGTGATAACATCGGCACACGAGTTCACTGCTTTGCTTTTATTTGGATGGAATCTTGGTGCATTTGAGCTCTCTGCTCGGTATGTCTCTTATACACATCTAGATGTGTATAAGAGACAGGTTCGGGTCCGTATGTCCGGCTTGATGTCCGGTTTGATCCAGACACGGTTCTCCGGGTGTCCGGGTCCGGGGCAACCATGCTTTTTTTCGTTTTTTAATTTGTTAAATTGTTTATTTAATTACCCAGTTTTAGCTGCGGTTAGAGCAGGGAACCATCTCCAGAGGATTCCTTTCTTTTTTTTCACCATAAGGGTCAGCTC